TCCAGACAGCACACTGAGGTCAGTTCCAACGGGATGCTACCTTGGCAGTCTTCTGCAGGTACTGGTCCGGATCGTTCGGCTTGGAAGAGTCTTCCTGTTTCGCATGGCGGGGGCCGCAGGTCTCCAGGTCCCTCCCTACGGAACACACACATAAAAACGCACACATTACAATTGCTTCCTTCCCTTCCTTCGAGCCTTATAATGTCCCTGCTTGGCAGTCCCGAGGGGCAGCTTGGAGCGCTGGCCCGGACTGAAAGAAGCCAAAGGAAGAGGAAAGGGCATGTCAAAATTGCCTTGGAACAAATAGCGGCATTGCAATATCCCTCCAGGCTGCAATGGGAAACAGATATATGGTCAACTTCCATTGTGCACATCTGCTAAAATAAAAATAAACCCCAAAATTTACAAGTACATCTATACCAGCCATAATAAACAAAATGGTGGAAAACACGCTCTATTTATTAAATGCAAATAAAAAGCGTTAGAGTTTCCTGGCATTTCTTGCGTTGGGGTCACTTTAACTTTTCGCGTTACATAAATAGTCCCCTTTAAGTGATCGCGTTCATTAAAATATTTAATTTCCTTTAAAGAATGTTATGAAAGGTTATAAAATGCACATTTAGCCTAGAATTCAAAACCGCACCTTGCAAGGAGATAGTCTTCGGCGAAGGGCCAGCCGTAGTTATTTCATAAAGCTTATGAAAAGCCCTGCATCAGTCGTCCAGGGCTGGGTGGGGGACGTGTGGCCCTCCACATGCCGCTAGGCTCCAACTCCCAGCAGCCCGCATGCCCAATGGGATGGTCAGAGTTAAACAATTTCTAGAGAGCCGCAGGTTCACCACCCTGCTCCTTTTTCTTTTTTTTAAAAAGCCACAACATGCAAAAAGTGAGGGACAGGAAGGGAAGAGGAAAAAACCAAGTTCAGGCACCAATTCTTAGATCCAGTGTGGTACAATGGTTATAAAGTTTTGGAGTAGGACCTGGGAGAGTAAGCTTGAATCCCCACTCGGCTACGCAGCAGCTCCCTGGGTGACCTTGGGCCAGTCACCATCTCTTGGTCAAACCTTCCTCACAGGGTTGTTGTGAGGGTGAAATGGGGAGGAGGAGAACCAGGTGCACCACCAAGAGATCCTTGGAAGTTAAAAGTGGCATATAAATTAAATAAATAAATATAAACTTTTGTTCTCGTAATGACCAGGCAGCATAGAAACAGCTCAGGGGCAGGAGGTGCCTATGGAGGGAGCCCTGCTTCCCGTCTCTCCCACTGAGGCTGCCAGGTGGAACTGCAGCTGCCAGGTGACAGGACAGGTGACATGACACAGCTGACACACTTGTGCTCTTCCAATTCATCTCCCAGTCCACTTAATTTCCCACCCGCAATCTTAATTGTTCTCTGCTCCACATGGGTGTGCGAGAAGAACCAAAAGAACCAGAGGAATGCCCAAAACTCAAGCTGCCACTGTTGAAAATTAATACTGCTGCTGTGGTGCCCCTCCTATTCCTCTCCCGTTCCCTACTGCTGAAGAACTTCCAAGTGTCCCTCTTTTCCAGGGATATTCCTGGATTTACGGAAGCCGTCCCGGTTTCTGATTTTATCCTGCAATGTCCCGCTTTTCCTTAGGACATCCCTATTTTCATCAGAGAAATGTTGGAAGGTATGGAGTTATGCAGCCCCCAAGCCAAGGAGATGAGTAACTATACAACCTTGAGGAGCCATCTGAAGGCAGTCCTGTTTAGGGTGGTTTTTAAATATTTATGTTTTGTTATGTTTTTATATATGTTTGAAGCTGCCCAGAGTGGCTGGGGCAACACAATCAGATGTGTGGGGTATAAATAATAAAATGACTGTGATTGTGATTATTTAGGATGGCTCTATTTTCACTGGAGAAATTTTCATTGGAGAAATATAGCACAAGGAGACCATTCCATCTGCAAAAGGACTCCTGCTTGCCCAATGGATCAATCATCTCCTCTGCTCCCCCTGCATGATGTTCTGGGGGGGGGGTTCCCCTGTTCTCCAGAGCAGATTTTGGGGAGGCCCAGGGGGCACGCAGAGAGAGGTGAAAGCATCCTTATAGTAGCAAGAATCCTTGCACTAGCTTATGCGAGTGGAGCGAATTAGCTGAATCCGACCCACACGGCCTACAACTGTGCAGGAGGAACTTGGCACCGTAGAAACTGGTGCTGGGGGCGCCTCCAACACAGCCTCTCCCTCTTCCTTGGGTTTATCTAACGTCCTTGAAAAACCATCTAAATCTGGTGGCCATCTCCTCATCTTGTAGCAGTAAGCGCCACAAAACGCCTTGTGTTTCGTTTTCCTTTGCTTCTTTCTATTCCAAATCCCTTGCCCTTCCGTTCATCACTGAAATGTGCACCACAGCAAAGAGATCTGAGACATTAAGGAAGCAGCAATCATGACTGGGCATTTAACTGGGTGCTTCCAGGACCATTCTAGGAAGAGCGCTGCTCCCTCGCCAACCTTGCACGCCCACGCTGCTTATTAACAACGGGCCAACGCTTGCACCCATTGCTCCAGGAGTCAATGAGGGGCCACGATCAGGCAGAGGCAGAGTAACCTAAACAACGGCACCAGCAGCCCACGACTTCTATTGGCCTCCAGTGGCGGGGAGTCACGTGGGCACACGCCCAATGAGAACTACTGTGGAGCCTGGAGCAGCGAAGATGCGGGCAAGCAAAGGGAGAATCAAGGAAACTGGGAGAAATCCCAGACAGCTGAACAGGGAGGTAAAAGTGTGGGGATAAGGTGGGGAGGGGCAGAGAAAAGGAGGCGGCTGCCATTTGCCAAACCAGAAATAAACTATGCCGAACCTTTGCTGTCGTGGTTATCCGGTGACCATTCAATATTTCCACCCTGGGCAGCGCTGTGTTTGCAGTGGGAGATTTACTATGTTAGCTTGGGCAGGGCTTGCTAAGCTTATCTTACAGTGAAAACACCCGCCAGGAGCTCCAGCCCAGGGAAAAACGGTGCTTTAATCCCCTTGTTTTCCTTTTGGGTGATTACCTGACAAAACCGAAAATTGTTATAGCTTTGCTGAAAAGAAAATTAGGCACTAATGGCAAGAAACCTCTCCAATTAGTTCTGTTATTACCAGCAAATTAGAATTGCAGCGCTAGCACCCCTCCGAGACGGCAGCTTTTCAGAGGCCTGGTAAACTGCGCTTGAGCCGCCAGCCACCTCCTCCTGGTCCAAGACGGAGAGAGGTTAAATTCATATATGTACATATTTAAACCTTTTCTTGAAAGTCTCTTGCACAAATTAGATTAACCAGGACAGCTGAAGTGGCCAAAACGAGCCCTTAAAGCCGTCAGATTAAAACACTTATTAACCATGACAGATCCAAAGTTATTTTTTCCAGGCTTGCTGCTGTGGAAATTTGCGACTCTCTCCAAGAGGAGCACAATTAATGTTAGCAATTCCCACTTCCAAATGAAAATATATTGTGTTTTCTGACTTTTTTTAAAGAAAGAAAGAAAGAAAGAAAGAAAGAAAGAAAGAAAGAAAGAAAGAAAGAAAGAAATATCCAGCAAACAGTGAGAAAATGCATCCTCCAGACTGGATGGAAAGGAAAGCAGTGAGGAGATGCTCACTATCCCAGTTATAACATTCTGGCAAGAGTAATGATTGTGTTTGCCCAAGATCCAAGCTGCGCTTTTTTTTTTAAATGCAGTACCTGATGCAGTTAATGCTCCTGAGTTTTCTTGCCCATGTGAGCAAGAAGTAAGGAGCAGGTGTGTGCTTGGTGATACCCCAAGCGCACTAAGATCAGGTAAAAGGAAAGGATGGCTCAGGAAAGACTTAGCATCCCTGTCCCTTCCTCCACCTGCAGCATCCACACACCTGGGGCTTTAAAGGACTCAAACAGCTACATCAGAGGTGGGGGACCTCACGCCCATAGGCCAACTGAGATGCGCACGCACACACACAGCACCTCCGTCTGACCCTTGTGACTCTCATGGTTGAGACACCTTGAGATAGGTAAAGGTAAAGGGACCCCTGACCATTAGGTCCAGTCGTGACCGACTCTGGGGTTGCGGCACTCATCTCGCTTTATTGGCCGAGGGAGCCGGCGTACAGCTTCCGGATCATGTGGCCAGCAGGACCAAGCTGCTTCTGGCGAACCAGAGCAGCGCACGGAAATGCCATTTACCTTCCCGCCGGAGTGGTACCTATTTATCTACTTGCACTTTGACGTGCTTTCGAACTGTTAGGTTGGCAGGAGCAGGGACCGAGCAACGGGAGCTCACCCCATCGCAGGGATTCAAACCGCCAACCTTCTGATTGGCAAGACCTAGGCTCTATGGTTTAACCCACAGCGCCACCTGCGTCCCATACTTTGAGATAAAGGTAAATTAAATAGCACTAAGAGAGAACGACAGGCTTCAGCATTCTTTGCCGACCCATTTTTCCTTATTTCCGGGGTGTGGGGGGCAGAGCATGAAGTCTCCCAGTGTTCATGGTGGGCAGGGAAAAGGCAAAGACAAAGGGTTTCATCAAGGAAGAAGAAACTGCAAAGAGCACAGATAAAAAGTTGCATACAGAGGTCAACCCAGGATGAGACAAGGCACTAGTTAGCTCCACACGGAACAGTTACATCTGCACTCAATGCTTATTTAAAAGTTGGGGAAATTGGAAGATGCCTTACGCAAAGTCAGGCCATTGGCCCCCACTTAGCCCAGTACAGTGGTACCTCGGGTTACATACGCTTCAGGTTACATACGCTTCAGGTTACAGACACCGCTAACCCAGAAATAGTGCTTCAGGTTAAGAACTTTGCTTCAGGATGAGAACAGAAATCGTGCTGTGGCAGCGCGGTGGCAGCTGGAGGCCCCATTAGCTAAAGTGGTGCTTCAGGTTAAGAACAGTTTCAGCTTAAGAACAGGCCTCCAGAACGTATTAAGTTCTTAACCCAAGGTACCACTGTACTATGACTGGCAGGGGCTTTCCAGGTTTTGGGAGGGGACTCTCACAGCCTCACCTTCAAGATGCCCAGGGCTGAACCTGGGCCCTTCTGCATGCAAAGCAGATGCTCTGCCACTCGGCTACAGCCCCTCCCTCAACACAGGTAAATCTGTATGCTGTATGGCCTGAGATTCCCAAGCGCAGTCCAGAAGGCAGGTCCCTTCTCTGTGCGCCTCCTCCACGAGAGGCCTGGAGAGTGGCAACAAGAGAATGGGCCTTTTTTGCAGCGACTTCCCATTTCTGAAATGCTCTCCCCAGGCAGGTTCAGCTGGCATCTTCATTAAACACCTTTAGGCACCAGGTGAAAACATTCCTCTTTAACCAGGCCTTTGGCTGATCTGACATCCTATAGACTTTTAAATGTGCTGCGGGGGTGCATGTGTCTGTTGTTCTTGTTCTTATTGTGTATTTTGTGTTTTTTTCTTGTATTTTTTGTTGTGAACTGCCCTGAGATCTACAGATGAAGGACAGAATATGCATTAAATATCAATTAACCAATCCCTGCAGGTCCTGTATGGCAGCACTGCACCCGGCAGGGCCGGAACATTTAATTTCCAGTTGCTGGATGCAAATGGGCATTCCCTGTGAGGGACCATGCCTTCCAAGAAATTTGTGAACTTCTACTTGCGATATGCTGCTGTTAGCCAGACATGAGATACCTTTGCACCAAATTCCTGAACTGCAACATCCAAGCTAGCCAATGAAGCCTAATTCTTGGTCGTATACACAACCTCATCCTGTTTTCAAGACCAAGCTCAGACTCCAAAGCTTCTCCTTAAGAGGTTCAGATTCCTTCGTCAGTGGTGACATTCCATGTCTTATAGATCCCATGGCGAGATTGGAATTTCCAGCTATGTAATGATAGGGCCAGGAGGCTAGAAGCAAACCTGGTGAGCAAAACATGGAATATCCCCTTTCCCAGAACCAGGAAGTGCCAGACCAATGTGTTTAACCACAGCATCCTCTTACCTGGAAATGTTTCTCAATTAAAGGTTTAGCTCATCTTGCCTGAAATCGCCCGATCAGGCAGTGCAGAATGCCGTCTACCTGCCATGTGTGTTTGGGGGGGGGGGGTAAGAAGAAAGGGAACACCAGCCAGGGCAGTCTATACAATGCATTCCCAAAGTGTTCAGGAAAGTTTCTTTAAAAAAAAACCACCAAATGCAACTTCCCTGATGATGTTTCCTTCCAATTCTTTCTTTGGAAATCCCACCTTGCTACCACAGCTCCTCTTTCCTAGTTCCTGTATTTGCTGTGCCTATTTAGCTAAGAGAGTTTACACAACTGGGAGCACCGAATGAAAACGCAAATGATGTGGATAAACGCCAGGCAGGCTGGAGGATCTGACAAATGAGTGCATCTCAGAGCTGGGACAAGGTCAGGTGCTAGGACCAGGCTTACTACAAAAGGTATGGACAGAAAAGAGTCCTGTTTTCCTCCCATCTGCCTCTGTGTGTAGGTTGGGTGGGTTTTTTTTAAGACTCCCCTCATTCCCAGTCCCTTCCATGCGAAGGCTGCTTTAGCTAGAAAGGCCAGAGAGCACTTCACAACCAAAAGGGTCACTCCTGGCTACACAATAACAGCTCCTGGGTGTGTTGCTAAGAATGGCTTCAAAATCAGGGAAGCTCGCATGAAGTTTCGGCTGCATCTGAGCCCAGCTAGGCTTGCTGCGTAATAGAGCCCTGAACGCAGCTTTTCCTAGGCCTCCCCCGAGCTTGGGCAGATTGAAAATTTGAGGCTCACTGAACACTCTGCATGCAAGAGGAACCCACACAACTGCAGTATCTTCTCCTACCAGCATCACAATCGCAAGTGGCAAACACATCTACATCAAAGTTTGACTACCCAAACAGCGTTAGTCACGCCTGGGAATGCTTCCAAGGATACCCCCGGAGCAATTTGCTTATGTTTCAGGGCTGCACAGAGTGGAGGGGATTTCTTTTTAAAACATGGCCAAGATACTCGATTCCCACCCCCTAGATGTAGAATCAAGCCTAGGAGGATTAACCTTGTTTCTCGGCAAGCAGCATTTTGTGAAATAAACCACCAACAGATACCTGGCATCAACAGAAATGGCGAGCATCTTATTTTCACAGAAAATGCTTTGTTAAATGCTGTGCCAAATGAAAGGAGAAGGCACGAGAGCACAAGAAAGGACTCCAAGGCTATTGCAGGACTAAAGGGCCTCGGAGGAAAGAGAGCGAGTGAAGAGGTGCAAGGAAGCCTGCCACCCTCTGGATACTGCTAATGAATTAGCTGGGGAACCTCTGGTGCTGCTGAGCTTTTTCTTTTTTTTAAAAAAAAATAATATTTATTAGTAGTTTCAGAATTATAGAAAATTAAAAAAAATAAAAAACAACACAATAATACATAAAAAAGAGAAAAAAGAAAACGCAAAAACCAGTACAACAGTACAGCAAAAAGATAAAAAGAAAAAAGGAAGACAGAAAAAAAACACAAATCCCAAATTACATATCTATAACTTCCATTTGCTTGTTTCATTGACCTCCTCACACCTCCCTTCTTGCATTCCAGTTCAACTAGTTATTTCAGCAAATTCTTTCCATCTTTCTCAATTTTTGTTACAAAATTTATCTTAACAATTTAACCTAATAATTAGCTCAACAAATCCTTTCCATCTTTCCCCATATTCTGTTATTCAAATTACCTTAATTTATTTAACCTTATCTTACCCTAAAATACCTTAAAGCTTAAATCTTAATTTTCAAATATACATAACTCCTGATATCATTTCTGCTAGAGTCATATAGTTTCATTCCAACATTTTCCCTAATATTCATTAATTTTAAGCTAATTCCCAAATAGAAAGTTTTTATTTATAATTTTTTCCAATCTTCATCCAACGTCTCTTCTTCCTGGTCTCGGATCGTGTCAGTCCTTACTGTCTATTCCATCTAGTCCATGAGCTTTTTCATTCAGACTTCGTCACAATCCTGCGGGCTGTGGCTCATTACCTGCTCTACAAGGAGCTGCCCTTGAAGTCTTTTTCAGAACCACCTCTAAGCAAAACCAACCACAAAAGCAGAGACAGAATTCACTGGCAGGCAAAAAAATTCCAGGTGCTAGGACTGAGAATTACTCCAGGCACAATGCAGGGTTTTTGAGGGGAGGGTGGAATTTTTTTGGGGGGGCACTAATAATATAGACAAATAGGAAATGAGGTAATAGGTACTAAATGTAATACATTGCAATACTCCCACACCCAATTAATGCCAACCTTATGTTATTTGGCTACATTCTGCAAAATAAAAAATGCTGCAAGAATATAAAATGTATAAACAGATGTATTGAGAAAACTTGCGTAGCAAAAACAAAGCAACAGGACCCCCCAAAATTTAAAACAACCTGTAGAAATTGAAAACTACCCCAAAAGCCTTAGTAAGGCTCAAATTGTAACATAAAAGTCTTCAAAATATATACAGAGGCTTAAATAGTTGCATACACACATAAGAAAATTAAATAAAAATGTCTAGCTGCAATTCTCAAAAGGAAAGGACGCCAGAGACTCGTGTTGCAAGAGGCATCCAAAATGAAACCTTTTATATCAGCTGGAACCAACTGCCTATAATAGTCCAGTGATATCAATGGAAAGGAACTCTGGAATGGAGAACTTCTAATGTGTACAATGGAATCAAGGGAAGGCTTTTGACCCTTACTGGCAGAAAGCCAGAATAAATAGGTAACGGAGTGAAGACTCAAAAATTAGCAGGAAAACAGTGACAATGAAAGAGAGGGAAACATGCATGCGGATATTCCCAGCAAAGAGAGAAAATCCATTTCCTCACTGAAACCTTTTTGAGTTAAATTGTGTAGGGCAAAGATCTAAAGCAGCTCCCTCCCTTATCAATGGCTTGGCATCCTGCTCACATGCCCCTTCAATGGCCAGGTCAAACATCGGGTGCTGAAGCTCTGCAGAACGTCCCACCAGATCTACAAACGCAGACGTCTCTGATGCATTCCATTGAATGTCTTTTCAAAGCTCTTGCAGCCTGCCCTGTTTAAATCTTTCCACTTGACCATTTGATGTCACAAACCACAAGGGTGCTACTACATGCAGTAACTTTTATATAAATGCATCCTACTGGTGTGTTTGCTGTGAATAAAGACAACAGCAACAAGGGAAACAAAGGGATCCCAATGATGTGGGCCCCTAAAATTGGGGTCCTTTTGATATGCAGTTGTGGGTTACTTTCCACAGACTGGTATATTGCATGGCAAGTGCCAATATTTGCTTAAACAGCACTGCAAGGGTATGCTTACATGATTAAATGTCAGGCTGCAGGTGAGTCTATGCTGGGCTCCATAGAATCACTCCTGCCACACAAATGACTCTTTCAGGGTGTCTCCCCATTGCAAAAATGCATTCAGTGGCTCCCCACTGCCTTTCAGACACAATACAAATGACCCCGGCCCAGCAGCCCTTCAGGTCCACCCAACATTGCTTTCCTTATATTTTTATTTATTTGTGGTTTTGTTTTCAGGTATGTCTATAGACACCTGTCCCCCGCCCCCCGCCAAAAAGAAAGAAAGTTATAGGCTGCACAACAGAACTAAAGCAATTTAAGCTCCTGAGTTGCTTTTAAAGGAAACGGAATTGGAAAAGGGGGGAAAGAAAAGCTGGCTCTACCATTTGCGGCTGAACCCCAACTCACCATTTTCTCCAGCCCCCAGGGACAGCTGCTTCTGATCCTTGGTCTCTCTTGAGCCATCTTGCTTGCCCTCAACATCTTCGTCATCAAACTGAGCCTCTATAACAACGTCCGGGCTGTTAACGTCGCCTTTTCCTGGATCACGAAGCACACAAGCGCCCGGGGAACTCCCTGGAGGATCTGATCCTTCAGCTGTTTCTGTTGTTTCATTGTCACAACCATCCGGCTTGATTACCTGGAGAGTAAAGAGGGAGAAAAATTGCATTCTGAACTGCATGGTCCAGCATGGCTGAGGGGGAGCCGTACACCGCTTCCGACCCTGATAGGTCTCCCCACCCCTCCAAATCCTTCATCCCAAAGGCCTTTCACATTGACATGGGAAGGGCGACTGCCAGTGAGGAGCAGCAGCAGGATGGGACCAG